TAACATTGAAAAAGTATCTCTGGAGAAAATATCCTTCCCCATTTAATATTTTTCGTACTGATCTTTGGTTCACGGAGGGTTTTACATTACAATGTGGTTTATAAAAATTAGCATAACTTAATTTCTTTCAAAAAAATAATTGATTGAGCACAGTTGAAGAATCCCAAATGCCCCTACTTTGATGTTTAAATGTCATTAGTGAGTTAATATTTCATTGCTAGTACCATATTATTTGAGTTATTTTATTTTTATTTATTTATTATTTATTTTTGGTTTTTTGAGTCTGTGTAGTTTTGGTGCCTGTCCTGGATCTTGCTCTGTAGACTAGGCTGGCCTCGAACTCACAGAGATCCACCTGGCTCTGTCTTCTGAGTGCTGGGATTAAAGGCGTGTGCTACTGCCACATGGCGGTAAATTTATTTTTGTAGAGCAACAAACACTTTTAACTATTTAATCATCTCTCCAGTTCCCAATTTTAACTTTTTAATTTTTTTTTCTATTAGGTTAAACACCTACTCTATAATTGCTTCTTCTCTTGAAGATATTCATGGCTGTTCTCAGTCTTCTATAAAACTTTAGGGTTGTTTTGTGTCTTTTTGGCCCCCAACTCTAATAACCTTAGAGATTTGGGTCCAAAATAGTCCAGTTCTGGGGAAAGCAGGAGTCTTTGCAGTTCTGAGTCTCGTGCTCCAGGGTGGAGGGTATCCTTTCAATTTGTTCAGATCATTGGCGTCAGAAGCTACCCAACATTTCAAATTTTAAAAAATTAAGTTTTACTCATTTATTAGTGTGTGTGCATGGGCATATATGTGCCACAGCACGTGTGTGGAGCTCAAAAGACAACGTCCATACGTTGGTTCTCTCCTTCCACAGTATGGGACCTAGGAATTGACTCAGGTCGAGTTAGCCTTGGCAGCGAGCATCTCTACCTGCCATGCCATCTTACTGGGTTCTACCCAGCATTTCACAGCTTTAGTTACATCAGACCAGCATATTTTAGATAAAATTTTTATTTATAAGCTCATAGAATTATGGAAATGTTCTTGTATTTCTAAGCGTTGGCTTTCTCACTTATAAAATTAAGGAGGTAATATAACAATTATATTAAATAATATATGTAAGATGCACATTGTGTTAGCTGAATTCTGGGGAAATTTTATGTTACATATTTATGTTTCATATTTATACATGATATATTTGTTAATTATATACTGAATTCTTTTTTTTTCCCCAAAAGTTTTCAGTTAAATTTTATGTTTTGTAACTACCAGATAAATTTGATGATACCTTGTCTCTTAGGTTTATTCTTTGACTGGAGAGCAATTGTTTTTTTTTTTTTTTTTTTGTTGTTGTTTTTTATTGAGACAAGGTGTCAACGAGCAGATTATAAAGCCCAGGCTGGCTTCAAACGCACCATCTCTTGCCTCCACCTCCCAAATGCCGGTATTACAGGTGTGCAACACCATGCCCAGCCGCTGTTCATTTTCCCCCTGATATTTATACCTTCCTTCTTTACCCTTTTATTTTACTTTTATACTAGACTGCCTTATCTCCCTTTATTGGCAGACATTCTTCCAGTGTTTTAGATATTTGCTTATTTGGATATTTTCCATATAATTAAAATTAGAGTACTTCTCTAAAACAAACCCAGATACAACTTGTGTGTCAATAATATTGATAGACATTAAAGGCTTAGCGTTTGCCATTTTATTATTTTGTGTGTGTTTATGCATGGGCGTGCACATGTGCCCAGCATGAGTGTGGAGGGCAGAGGACAACTTGCAGTTGATTCGCTTTCCACCCCACGGATCCCAGGGACTGAACTCAGGCCGTCAGGCTTGACAGCAAGTGCCTTTTCCCACAGAGCCATCTTGCCAGCCCAGTCAGAGATGTTTGAGTCTAGATCTTTCTGGGGTTCATGAAAGTTTTCTTCTACTCTATTTCTTTTTCGTTTTCTTCTCTTTCTTTCCTTTGTCCTACTGTAAGGTTGTAGAGTGGAAACCCCTATCTCCTGGTTGCCTATTGGAGGATTGTCCTCAAGTTGAAGAGACCACTTCCATTCTGTGACATGTGGCAGCTTCCACCTTTGAGCCAGCAGCAAGAACTGAATGCTGCTCAGGCCTTACGACAGGCCCCCTCACCTCCAGCCCTGCCCCCCCTCTGACTTCTACCTGAGAAGCTCCTCTCTCTGAAGGCCCGCGTGGTGAGAATGTGTCCACCGTAACAATACTGGATCATCTCTAAATTTACAACCTTAGTAACCTCACTTGGGTCCTTCTTGCTGCAGACTATGGTATAATCACATATTCCGAGGGGTCCAGCATGGGGATATGTGTGGAAGCTACTATGCTGCCTACAGCTTTAGGCTTTTCATCACGTCCTCCTGGAACACAATTCACCTTTTCAAGATGTATTTTTCCTTATTTTTGTAAACACTTTCTGTTTCATGTTGTTGTCTTGATTCTCTTCAATATTGGCTTACCTGACTTCCCTCTTCCTGTCACCCTAAAAGTGGCGGTTTTAATCATCCGTGTCATGGGACATAGTGTATACACGAGTCTTACCTGTTTAAAGGGCACTATCCGTGAGTTTTGAGAGAAGAGACGCTCATGTCTGCAACAGCAGGGTTGGAGGCAGGGACAAGAGTTCTCTTCAGAGACAGCTCCTCAAGTGAAGCCCAATGTCCATATTTCGCGACAGAAAATAGTTTCAGCACAAGCTAGTCTGAAGTGGAGTTGGTGAGTTCTGAAAAGAGACTTCAAGGTAAATGGAAGCTTGGGGATTATCAGACCGAGACGTCTGATACTCAAAGGACAGAGTAAGCCACACCCCAGCACTGCTGTGGGGTTCCAGGGGAGTCACTCAAGTGTCTCAGTGGTCACTGCATACAGGACTTGGCAAGCACACTGTTCAGAGTCATAGTGACTTTGGAACATTAATGGTGGGAACTGCATCTTGGCACCTCAGCAGCAGCTTCTTGTGGCTATCTAGCAGATGGACTCTGTTAGACACATTGGAGTCCTGAGTTCTGCTTCCACAGTGTTTCACATTGCATTTATCTCACTTAGTATAGTGTGAAGTCTGATATCATAGTCTTAGGGGTGGTGTTGGAGTAAATACACCTGCTGAATGACGTTACTCAATGCAGAGTTTTCTAAACTTGATCTGTCTGAATTCTGTAGCTAGAGTTTTTTTGGTCCTGCCTGGCCCATGGTCAGGACAAATCTCCCTCACCCGCCAGTCCCGCAGCTGCTCAGGCCCAACCAAGTAAACACACAGAGACTTATATTACTTAAACTACATGGAGGTGGCAGGCTTCTTGCTAACTGTTCTTTTTCTTAAATCAACCCATTTCTATTAATCTATAAGTTGCCACGTGGCTCGTGGCTTACCAGGATCTTAACATCTTCTCATGGCGGTGACTGGCAGCTCTCTCTGACTCAGCCTTCCACTCCCCAGAATTCTCCTCTTTCCTTGTCCCGCCTATACTTCCTGCCTGGCTACTGGCCAATCAGTGTTTTATTTATTAACCAGTCAGAGCAACACATATAACATACAGACCATCCCACAGCACTTCCCCTTTTTCTTTTCACTTCTCACTTTATTTTCTTTTAACTTTTTATTCCTCTTTTTGTGTGTAGGTGTGTATGTATACATGTGCATATGTGTGGGTGGCGGTGGTGGTGGTGTGTGGGGGTGGGTGGGGGTGTGATAAGTACAAGCATGCATGTCACAGAGCGTGTGTGGAGCTCGGGGGATAACTTGTCAAGAAGGAGTCGCCTTCTACCTTGTTTGTGGCAGAGTCTCACTTGTTTCTGCCACTGGGCTGCATATTCCGGGATAGCTGCCTTGTGAGCTGCTGGGCCATTCTCCTTCTCCACTTTGCCGAAGGAGTGCTGGGACAGCCTACTACCACGCCCAGCTTTGGACCTGGGTTCTGGGGGTCAAACTCACTCGGGTGGTAAGGCTCATAGCCCAGGCTCGCGCCCGCCCGGCTTTGTATGTGGGTTCTGGGGATTGTCAGACTCATATTGCAAGCGCTTTCACCCTGGAAGTCGGCCCCACCCTTCTGTCCACCTGTTACTATCCTGTGATGCAAAGGACTGCGTCAGAGTGTCTTACATATACATGTCCCGACAGAGTCTAATTTTTAATGAATGTGTGCAAGGGTTAGACATCTTTTCTGAAGAGAGCTAGAGAGTAAATATTTTAGGTTACAAAGAATAAATGATCTGTCATAAACATCCATTTCTGCCCGGTAGCAGAAAAACAGGCATAAATGAGAGGTTGACAAATGAGTGTGGCCGTGTCCCGGGTACGGTTTTCATTATCGACACTAAAATGTGGATTCTATTTAATTTTCCTGTGTCACAAAATATGATCCTCTTTCATCACCAACAGTGTCAAACTATAAAAGTCATTTGTAGCTGGTGGGAGGTTACAGGAACAGCTATAATAAGCTGGGTTTGATTTGAGAGTCTGGCAGCCCTCGTGAATGAATGCTTCACTCTCTGGCCAGTTTGTGCACCCCACCTATGTTCCAGAACATTTAAAAGCCCAAGTATCTGTTAAATACAAAAGGAGGACATCATGGCCTCGTCCTCTTTGCACGCACATCTGCCTTACCCAGCAGCTGGGCTCTCAAATCTGGAGAAGGTTCAACACCATTCCCCCTGTTACGAAGGGGAAGTTCACCTTCGTAAACTGGCTGAATACAGACTAGCAGAAATACCCCTCTTGAAATGAAATCATGTCATTATCTCTAAATGGTGGCTTACTTATTACATCTTAAGACACACTGTAGTGCTTTACACTGGTCTTAGCATGGAACTTTGATTTTTGTGTGGAGGCAAAAGCAGTGTGTCTTGAGTGAAGAATTCTCTCTGTCGGTTGTAAGATTCCAAAACAGGTTAAGTACATAATTGACAGTCATCAGAACCATAGCATTCCTCTTATGGACCGCATGTGACCCCCCTCTCCTGGTTTCTGGTGTTTCCCAGGTTCATCCCAGAACCCTGGTCGGCCTGCAGCACCACCTGTGGACCGGGCATTCAGGTGCGTGAGGTGAGGTGTCGGGTGCTCCTCACATTCACACAGACTGAGACTGAGCTCCCTGAGGAAGAGTGTGAAGGCCCCAAGCCGCCCACTGAGCGACCCTGCCTCCTTGAAGCCTGTGACCAGAGTCCTATGTCTCCAGAGCTGGGTGGCCCTCGCCAGGAGAAGGACAGTGAGATGACTTACGACTGGGAGTATGCTGGTTTTACGCCCTGCACTGCAACGTGTTTAGGAGGTATTCAAACCCCTTCCTAAGGGATAGACAAGTGGTCTATTGTGGAGGGTATGATCTCATGTACGCCATATATGCAAATCAGCAAAAATCTAAAAGGGATGAATTCATTCAATAGCAAAACTATGCTTTTTCTTTCTTTTATATTTGGGAGTTATAGTGACTAAAACAGTATCTTTGGCCTAAGAATTTGCTTCATCAAGAGAGGAAGGGGTTCACTGGTTAATATGGAATAAATTAGAAAATGCAGAATGGATATATAGAAGAAATCAGTGTCATAGGACGAGGCCGCCTCGGGTTGCTTATAGCTGCTGCGATGGTCAATAAGATGCATCCTAAGAAAATGTTTCTGTTCATGCCTGCTGCTGGGCCAGGAACCAGTACAGAGCACATTCACCCCCATGATGGGTGAATAGCTGACATGCAGGGCCAGGCTAGGTATAGGAGATAACTGGTGTGTGTAGCAGGTTCTCTTTAGAAGGGGAAGTGGAACTTGGGATTGTCTAAGCATTAAGGATTTTTTTTGAAGGAATAAATTAGCAAGGAGCCAGTGTCCAAGGACTGTTTTCTTTCTAGCTTTTGCTTAAAGTGGGAGGATGAAGATAACCAGCAAGGGGCTAGGAGCATGGCTTAGAAAAGAGCTGACTGCACAGCTTGAAGTCCTGATGTCTTAGGGTTTCCATTGCTGTGAGGAGACACCGTGACCACAGCAACTCTTATAAAGGGAACATTTAATTGGGGGTGGCTCACTTACAGTTTAGAGGTTCAGTCCATTATCATCCTGGCAGGGAGCATGGTACAGGAGAAGTAGCTGAGAGTTCTACATCTTGCAGGCAATAGGAAGTGTCATGAGACACTGGGTGGGGCTTGAGCATCTATGAGACCTCAAAGCTCGCCTCCACAGTGACACACTCCCTCCAATAAGGCCACACCCACTCCAACAAAGCCACACCCCCTAATAGTGCCACTCCCTTTGGGGAGCGTTTTCTTTCAAACCACCACAGCTGAGTTTGATCCCAGTACTCATATGAAAGCCAGGCGTGGTGGTGTGGGTGGTGAAGACAAGTGAGTCCCAGGGACTCAATGGCCAACTAATCTAGTCATCAGTGAGCCTCAGGCCAGTGAGAAACCATGTTTCAGAAACCAGGTGGATGGCTTCTAAGGAACAACACATTGGTATCTGGCCTTCATAGTCATTTGTGCCTGCATGTGCGTGTGCATACATACACACACACACACACACACACACACACACACACACACACACACACACACACACCACTTGATTTAAAAGAAAACATAACAACCAGGAAAGCTAGAAATTTTACTAACAAGAAAGAACGCTACTTTCTCCCGTGAGCCAGGACCCCTGACACCCTGTCTGTTCTATAACTCTTGATTTAGCTGTCCAGCCAGCCACCTGCTATGCCGTGGGCTCCCTCCCTGAGCACCTTCCGGTGTCACCCCTCAAAGAAGGTCAGAAAGCAAAAGAGGCAGCTACTCTCTGAGCTATTGGCTCATGAGTGTGCTCCACTCTTTCTAGGGGTCTTGAGCTGGTGGCTTGGAATGCCCTAGTAGGTGGTAGATCTCGAGGCCAACCATTGTGACTCAGATCCTCACTCTGGAGACTGAATTCTCAATCCTTGCCCTCCAGTGTCCCTGATCTGTCTCTGAACACACCCATCCTTGAGCTCTGCTCTGTACCACTGCCACCTTGATACTCAGTTCCCTAAAATGGCATGTGCCTCACTCCAGGCTACAGCAAGGCTACTGGTGGGTGTGTGGAGCTGTCCTCGTGGAGCTTAGAGAAAGAGCCCTTAGCTGAGTCAAGTGCAGGGAGACAGACCTATAGACCCAACACTTGAGAAGTAGAGGCGAGGAGACCAGGATTTCCAAGATCATCCTCTGCTAGTGTTTGAGGTCAGCTGGGCTACAGGAGAGCCCCAGCTGCCTCCATTTATTTCCCCCTCTCACCCACTGCTCCCTCGTTCCTAGAAGTCCATTCCAGCTAGGAATTTAGCCTTTCTGGTTTCCTTAGACCGGAAACACAAACCATGTCTCTTATCTCCAGAGCACAGGACCTCAGTAAACCCCAAAGCTGTCATGTGTTTGCCCCAAACTTAACTTCTCTCCAAGTTCAGGACCTCAGATGTCTCTTATTATGCATCTTGGAAACCTTAACCCTGGCATGCTCTTGGCATATAGAAAGTGGCCCTTTCTCTTGATGAGTCCTAGCAGCAGTGGAAGAGAATAAAAGTTGAATAAGTTCACTCTGGACTCATTTTAACATGCTCCCTATGGAGAGGTGTTCCTGACACGGTACATTAGCCATCACAGTTTTGCTCTCTCCAAATCCCTTCAAATCTTGACAGGCCATGAGCTGTAGTTTTTCCAGCTACTCTTGCTATAATTGGTCACTTCCTGTCAGGTCCCAGTGATGTTCAGGATGCCCATCATAAAGCCGAACAGCCTTCAACAACCTTTAATCTTTACCAGCTGTGTCTTCACAGCCTCCTGAAAAGAAGCCACCTGTGTGGGACACTGAGCGATGTGCGTATTTGCTAAAGTGTGGCACTGTTCACTGACCTTCTCTGGGTCCATGATATACTGCTTCCTCTCTTCTCATTACCTGGAGGGTTGTAGTAGTCTGTACTTAATCATACTAGCTAATTTTTTCCAATATAAACTCAGGTGCACATGTGTGCACACACACACAAATATCACACACATGCAAATATCACATACATAAATACCTCGCAGGCACATATCACATATACACATGCTGCATATATGTGAGGGTGTGGTATGAACTTGTCAATAACGTAGCTCAAACTGATCAAACAACACAAAGAAATTTACTTATTCTTTGGTTTGTTTGTTTTTTGATATGGGGTATGACTATGTAGTCCTAGCTGGAACTTACTCTGTAGACCAGGCTGGCCTCAAACTCACAAAGATCTGCTTGCCTCTGCCTCCCAAATGCTGGGATTAAATGAGTGTGCCACCATTCCTGGGTGTATTTTATTTTTAATTGGCTCTGCTTCTACTATTAGAATCTTTGTTTTTACATTCATCATTTATTAATTTCTTGATGAAGACTTTGAGTGTATGTTTTTATACACATGTACCTATAGATGTGGCCATGTGCCATCACATACATGATGAAGGTCCCATAATGTGATATCATGAAGAGATGTCACTTCTGTCTTGCTTATGCAAGGACACTCTAGTTTGCACAATGAAAGATTACCCAATAACATATGTCTTTGAATGTTTCCTTGTCATTGGCATATGACTCTGTGTGTGTGTGTGTGTGTGTGTGTGTGTGTGTGTGTGTGTGTGT